TATAGTGATTGTCAGTAATAGGAACATGTTATGGACAAGCTTGCAGGTTTTTTTCTGTATTGTCTAAATCTGGTGCTATACCTCCCTGCTGCTTCTTCACAGATTGTGGCTTTCTTGTTTTATTTTAATAATGTTAATGGAACATGCCAACAAAAGGCTACTTGTCACACATTTCAGTCATGGAAAATGTTTCTAAGCAAAACCAGACATACATAAATGTTTAATATGTTTCAGATACTGCACAAGTTAAAAATCAGCTTCTGTAAATTTAATTGCATTGTTTGTGTTTGCAGCAATTATGTTGGCCTCTGTATTGCTGTAATAGAGTATTATAAAGATTCTTYCCCTTTGTAAAATCAAATTAAATTTATATTTTCCAGAAGCAACAAATAATCAGATTGTATATTCATTGGCAAAAGAAATTACCTCATATTCTGCAATTATTGCAGTCTGCAACTTAGAAGCTGTGCTTTATTCTTTAAAGTCCTCTTTTAGARCTAGCTACTAAGCTTTTAAGTGTTATTCAACTTACTCTGCTTGTGGTACAAAATAACATTCTTCTTGCTTTTGGGATTGGCATATTATGTGGAAAAACTGCCTCTGTATTAATCTCTGTTACAGCTGAAAGTCCAAATGAAAACTTGTGTGCCTTTCCTCCTGAGGTTCCCCTAAATGAATGAAGCACTGCTTAAATGCTTAAAATATTTCAGTCTGCCCTGTATGTCATTCCACTGACATTATTAGATGCCATAGGAGTGATCCCACGAAAACACCAGTGCAAGTTTCCAGTAGAGGCCAGTTAGATATTTATTATGAAAATGCAATATAAACAAAGAAGTGTTAATTTTGAAGGTGCACACTGGAACAAAGGGACTGGAAGGGCATTTGGATTGATTAAATCTAGCCCCGTGGTACCTTAGGTAACCAAGTAACGTAATACATTTTGTAAGCCGGTCAAGCACCATGTTATAAATAGAGGTGTTTTCACTTGCTGGGACTTACTGCACGTCTCTTTCAGAGTATCACTGCCCTCATGCTTGCAAATGTCTTGTTGCACTTCTGTCTTACATGTATTCCTAACCAGTTTATTCTAATTTGTTCTATGCCTGTATTGCCTCCTAGCATCAAAAGCTCTTTGAACTTTAGAACATTTAAATGGTATGCTTAACGACAGCAATTGTCTTGAGAGTCTCTTTGCTAGACTAAATTCATGCATTTCATATGTGTTTCCTGCAGTAGTGCGAGTTTAGGTGACTATTGACACTTTTTGTCCTTTGTTTAGTTCAACACTGCTGTTTTGATGTCACTTATCAAATAGGTGAATGGGAGTGATCAGCTGGTAAAAAGCTGTCCCCCTGGATGGTTTTGGTCCACTTTTTTTTTCACCTGTGTGCTATCCTGAATCTTTTGAAAGTGTGACCCTACCAACAGTATTGCTTCAAGGCAATACTGTTGCTGGTCATGAACCTTTGTACTTAACCCAGGCTTTTTAKATACCTCTGGTGTTCTACACTGCACCATAGAAAATTGAGTGTGATAGCTGAAATAGGGGAGACAGTTCAGGCATTAGCAACAGCCTAGGCAAGGCAACATCCTTCCATCTGATATAAACTCAATCAACTTCTGATTCCTCAATCCAAGCAGTGGTTGGCTGCTCCATAATTTTGCTGCCATTTACCAAAAGCAAGGTTAAAATAATTATTGTGCCTGSTTGGTTCAGTGTTTGAAGAAAACTCTTTTCTGTTGCATCTGGTTCCTAGTATTATTTATTTTTTCATTTTACTTTCCAGTTATGTATTTGGGAAGTTAAGGATTCCCTCGGTGATACAGTTTAATATTTTCTCTCTAATAACATGACTCTAATAAATGTTACTGTGGAGTACTTTTGAACTTCGTACTATTTTAGCTATACTCATCTTTCTTGCTTCYTTATAGTCTAATATTTGGTCTTGGCATTGTTTCTTTGTTTCATTCTTCAACAAAGTTATTAAATTATCATTTTTATTGCAGTCTGATATGTGAAGTTGTGGGAATTAATTTATTTACAGTTTTATGTAAATAATTCAAAACATTAAGCCATGAAAAAAATGGCCAAGATTTCACCTGTGCATATATAAAATACTAAAATAAATTACTTGCACACTGTTTTTTTTAAGGTGGTGCCAGTTAGTTTGGTTCTTAGCACAGTCTGAGTGACTGGTAGAAAGGTAATAACCCATGTTTGTGATTGATTATTTGAAGAATTATGTGTAGCAACTGATTTTGCATGAGATTTATGCTACAGTTTTTGAAGGCCCACCATAATTTGGTCAATTAGAAAAACTTTCTGATTTGTACTGCCTTTTTAATCTACACATATGACTGCTYCTTCCTATGAGCAGACACAAAGTGTCAGCATTTCAAAACCGCACAGTTCTGTTTTGTCCTGTTTCTAACAGGTAGACAACAACTTGTTAGCATATATRGCAATAATTTATACAAGTCTCAAATTTATAGGTATATGTTTTAATTAAACTAACCAATATACTAAGAAAATCCCGTGGCAGCTTTTTGAAGTATTTAAAAATAGTGTTCTGCAGTAATCTGAGACCCTGCATTCCAGTTCATGAACTCAGTCYAACTTTAATTATTAGTAAGTCTTGTTGGACAGACTGAAATTAATGTAATCTCTTGGTGCTGTGACTGTTTTACTGTTCTGATAATACGTAATTGGTCAGTGACAGGGCTGTATAGTCTGCATTTCTAGGTGAAGGTACCRAATGACCAAAAGTCATAGGTTCCCTTTAAAAAGGAGTATCTACTTATTATCCTTCACTTTAGCATACTTTATGTTGTTCAGGCTGTTGTTTTCCGTTGACTCCACATTACTTTTATTTTGACTTTAATTTAAAACATTGTGTAGTCTTTCTGATGTTCCTGGGTGTGGGTGGCGTGGGGTAGAGTTCAGAGCCTTGAACCTTTTTCTGAGGAGGTTTCCTTTCAGCTCCCCAGAGGTTACACCAGACGTATACTAGCACTATGTGAAAAACTAGACACAGGGCAGTCCTCTCAGAATCTGTTCATGGCTTAATGAAGTACTGTTCTTCTTAGAGTTCAGTGGGTTTTGGGGATGGGAAACTAATKCATTCCGGGAATGTTAATACTTAAGCTTTTGCATTCATGAAAGCAGCTTCATTTATCATATCATTCTGTTTGAAATTTGAAGTTTTGGTAATCCAGTGGAGAAGATACTAAAGCATTAGTGATGGAACTTGGTTGGTAACAGAGAGAATGAAAATGAAGTGTGAATAAAGAACATTTGTTCCACCTCTGTTCTAAGTGAAATTGTCAATATTCTTTTCATTGATGTTTCTGTTGCCACCAAGGGGACAAATAATCAACTTGCTTACACTGGAATGGGAAGATTTGAACAATCTGTGGTAACAAGAAAAATAAAGTTTCAACGTAAAGCATAGATAGAAACGTTGCCTTTTGTTTTAGTCTTGCATCAAATAGCTTTGGTTGGGCTATTTCTAGAGAAATTCTATTATAGATGAGGAAGACTTTTGACAAAAAGTCTTCAAACAGAAGCCATGCTTCTAGGGGTTTTCAGTTTGTTGGCATTTCACTCTTCTGCTTTGTTATTCCTTCAGGCTAGAATTGCCTGTCCTTTTATGCATGCTCCCTGCATTGTATGCCAAACCCTCTCTGTGCACTTAGGCACATACTAGACAGGTTTTACAATAAAATCAATACATGCACAGTGGCTAGTGTTAAAAGTTACTTAATGAGAAATAGTTTTAAGTAAACATCCCTTTTGGTAGTGAGATCTCCGTGTGTATTTCTTCAGTTATGGTTGAAAACTTTAATTTGTCATTATTACCATAACAACATGTGATTTTCTGATTTTTGATTTTGTTTTATGTAGCTGAAATAGGAAGACAGACAGTAAGTYTTTGACAGCCATGGATCCTCCTATGATAGTAAACACTGCAGCAAGTTTTTGCAGCTTGAATGCAAGCTGTCTTTTAATTACAATCRAGTTATTTTCCTCAAGCAATGACTTTGTATGTAACTGAGCTATTAATGTAGTCACTGGGTGAACATCTTGTTGGCTGTGTGGGTTTCTGTCAGCCCCATTTCAGTCAGTTGCCTGGTTCTGTGTCCTTCTCCTTCATACAACCAAGAGGAGTGTTGGTTTTTTGGAGTGGAAAGGTAGAAGCAYGTATTTCTGAAGCCAGGATCAGTCTTAATATATTTGGATTTGTTTATCCAAAATACTTTTTTTTAATAGTGCCCAAAAGATTAGTAAAAAGGCAGCCATTGATTGTCCAGCACAATGAGATCAATTTTGTATGTAAGCTTTTCTGYTGGCTGAAGCTGAAATACAGTTGATTGGAACAATGGTTGATAGATTATGAATACATAAACTATAGTGAAGGAATGAACCTCTTCAAGCAAAAGAGTGAAACTTTCTATTTAAAATCCACAACAATTAATGGTATAAATTTTCAAGTGAGTAATGACTAGAAGGTTTCCTCTCATGCTGAAAATGTGGCAGATGTCCTTTATAAAATTATTTGCTATAATCAGTACAATCAAGTGATATTTTTTATGTCTTATTTTGTGCAACTTTGCAGTTCTTATTCTTCATCATCTTCAATTCACTATGTGGGTTTTATTCCTTCAAAAATGGAAATACAATCTATTTCCGTAAAGTTCCAGTAGGTTCTGTTTTCTCTTGGTTGAGTCATAATTTAATCTGTATAGGTTTGTCAATACCAAAGTTTTTGTGCCTGTTTGCGCTTACTCATACTCCAAATGGAAAAGGTGGAAGCCAGATTTATTTGAAAATCAGACTTAATTAATAAAGATAACAGTTCTAAAAAGGACATTACCCATTCTARAAATATTCTGATGCTGTTTTTTTTTTTAGTGTAAGCTGTAAGTGCAAGTTTTTTTCTGTAAGCTGTCTCTTCAACTGGAGCCATGCTATGCAAAGATCTTTTTTATACTTTCAGGTCCATTGGGCCTCGGCTTGTGTTGAGAATGACATTGGGAGCAGAAATCACCAGCCAGCTCAAGGCTTCTTCGTACATAGTATCAGGACGAAACCTTCTGAGATGGGACCTGACACCAGAGGAAATTAGAACAAGAACAGAAGAACTAATCCGGAAGACAAAGCATGTATATGATAGTGTTGGGATGCTTGAAATTGAAGAAGTAACACACGAAAATACTGTGCGGGTTTTGGCAGATATAGAAGTGGAATATGCAGGTTAGTGTGTGTTTTCTGTGATTCTTTCCATAAGGCATTCCATCTGTACCTAAGGAAACACTGAGGAAAAAATAGTTATTGCTTACAATTTTGATCCCTGCTGTTCTTGCATAGAATGTGTAAAGGCCTCTCAAGAGTCTTCTGATTATAATAATCTTTCAGGACGTCTGAATAATATGTAACATGATCAGCAACAAAGTTCTGCTCCTTTATTCTAGAGACAAAAATAGCGATCAATAAAACTGTGCTGTTGATGTCTTTGACACTTGCAGGGAATGACATTAGTCACCTGTTTTGGTTTCGCATGTGAAGCTCCACACWGTCACATTTCCAGCTGTGTGCAGCTGCTTGTGGGGGACACTGCAGCAGTGTAGGTGGAATCTGACACAAGCAGGTTGAATGGAGTAATGGAAASATTGATAAACTGCTAGTGCAGAAAATGTGATGGTTGGGAATGAGAAATATTTGAATGCATTACTGAATGCATAGTTCATACTGATAATGCAATCCATACTGACAGGTGGGTGGAGTTTAATGACAAACACACGTCATTGAGTTAATTTGTTAATAATTGTCAGTCAGAGGAGATGGGTAAAATACACACTGCATATTGGATGTCTTTGTTCAGAAAAACCTCTCCGATGGTGGCTGCATTACTTTTAAAACAGTGAGTGTAATGAATGTCAAGTTCTTTTAAATACTYTAGAAAAATCTACAATAGCCACAGAAGTGTTAAAAACAGCCATCTTGGCTTGGAGCAAAATCTTACACTAGCAAAAAAGAGCAGCCTTGCAGCTCAAATGACGGTACTGCAATATTAATCTGGATTTCACATTACTTAAAATTGCAGTTCAGGCACATCCAGTGAATTGGCTGGACTTTATGCTGGCATGCTCAGAAAGACAGTAATCTTCACTCAAAAAGCTTGCTGCCAGATTCAGTTTTAATTGTACGGATGTACCGATATACCAATCTGGTTAATTACTGTCTTTTCACTAAAACATGAAACTCTTTTTTAATTAAAGTAGAAGGAAAATCTGTGTTTGATTCAGAAAATAGKGGTCATCAGCTCTTCAGCATAGCCACCAGGACTTGATGCGAGATTTACTTTTTTTCACTACACTCTATTGCARTAGTGAGTCACATTTAAGCTTTTAATGCTAACCTTCAAAGCTGTATGTGAAATTATCATGACATGCAGTGAAACAGCATTGCATATGATAGGGATGTATTACCACAGCAAGACTTCCATTAGAATATTGGAATTTAAGGCCTGTGTGTCCCTTTCATATGGAAGACTTACCCCAGTAACTGGAACTTATTATCCAAAAAGACAGAGATGACAAGAGACCTTAAATTTCACTTGGAAGCTGCCAAAACTCATTTTATCACTTTGAAACATCTTGGCAGAAGGACATGAGGTGAAAGGGAAAGTTTCCTATGAACTTCAAGAAGAACTACATGCCTATGTTTTCATTTCTGAGACTGTCTCAGAGCTTGATAAAATGCGTGCACATCACATAAAATTAAGAAGCTTTAAATCAGGCTAAAATGTTAATGTAAAATCTACTTTTGGAAAGGTAGCTAGTAGAGACATTGTAATTTGMTTTTTAATTAAGTGAATTAATTTCTGTTTTAGCGTTTCCATTCAATGTCATTAAAAKATGTAATATTCATTTAGTAGGCAAAGATTTACTTAATCTCAAATGTGTATTCTGGAAAAGTAACATTACTCAGCTTCCAATCTCTAAAAGTAGAGAATACACTGACAGCATCTCTGCTTGCCGTGTTGTTTTTCCTTAAACACAGAAGCATACAGTACATGGGGATCTGACACTGTGCTCATGACAATGTAAAAATAACTTCAGGACAGATGGGCATGTTTGAAAGATTCAGAGCTTCTGACTTTAGATGCTAACATGGAAGCTTCTGAGCCAGCTATGAAATGTCAGTCTTCACTTACATGACTTTTGGAAGATGAACAATTTCTATCGTATTTATATACCTTTCAGCTGATTTTGTAGAAGATGATGAGATAATTGGGCTTGTGTTTTAGAAATCTTCTGTAAAATGTTTATTYGTTACAATGGTGTGTGGTTTTGTCCTTTTGCCTTTTCAGATTTACGTTACCTGTAATCACTTTATTTGCTGTATGTATCAGGTTGCATTGGGTCATTTTCTCTTATGCCTTCTATAAATGTTGGAAGGGGAAAAGTCCTTGTCCTTAAAGCATGACTATCCTTTTGTATTCACAGTGGAAAGAAGCATGTTGGATTTTCCCCAGCACGTCTCACCTGATAAAGAGATACGCTTAGCAAGTACAGAAGCTGACAAAAAACTGTCTAATTTTGATGTGGAGATGAGCATGAGAGAAGATGTGTTTCAGAAGATTGTTTATTTGGAGGTAAATAACAATGTCTGTGTAACTTGTGAAATGTATCTAAATGTATCTAGAATTAATTGKTGTTCATAATGCTTTTTGAGACAACTGTTTCCTCTGTGTCTGTGCCCCTCAAATCTTTCCATTAGGACATGCTTTTTCTTGCTATGCAGAAAGCTGTATCCTGCTGTTCCTACTCTTTGCCCCTCGTATAAGATCTGTGTATCCTTCTCTCTCCATGGCAATAGCTTTGACTTTTGTCTAGTCTTCCAATGAAGACTAGGTACTAGGAAGCTAAACTAACAGGAGGAGACCTATTAGGAAAAGTTTTTTGTTTTCTACTGGCTGAGCAACCTGTACTCATTGCAGCAGTGTACTTACATTGTCTTATACATCTTTTGAATTTGTGTCCAAAATTRTTTCATTGCAATAGTTGAGAATTTTAAATTTAAAAGTTGCTTTACGTTATGAACGTTAATGAGAATGTGTGAATGGGACTGACCTCTGAAATTACCTYATTTGATTTTCTAATTATACACAATTACATTGTATCCTCTTCCTCATCTATTGCTTCACCCTCAAACTAGAACTAAGTTGAAAGATACATTTATTTTTGAACTAGTTTCTATCCCTTTTGTGTTTCTGTTTAGCTTCCCTTTTAATTAAGCACCTGCAGGTATCTCTCTTCTTCATTTGTAGTATTCCTAGCTAAAACAGGAAGAATATTTGGTTCTGTTCAAATCYGTGTAGTGACATTTTTTAATATTTTTCTAAAAAGTGTAATTTAAGGATAATACAAGAAAGCCATCTAATGTGATAACTAAAAATTATGTATTTTTCTATGCTTTAGAGGCGAGTTTTTCCTCTCAACCCCACTGATTTTTAGTTGTCTTGTAATGCTCATAAGATATTGGAGCCGTATTTCTTGGCGTCATCATTTGTGCTTTCTGCAGCCTTGCCTGGGAATCAGAATAATGCTTGCAGAACCTTACTGAAGTGCTTTCCATTACCACTGTCTTCTTTTGCTGTGTTTTCCAGGGAAATTTTCAGCTGTTCTCCTCTAGCTGGGTATTCTTGTTAGGTGTTTGTGGAAGTATGTAAAAGCCCCATTTTGAGTATGTTTGTGCTGTGTGTTGGCGGATAGTACCTTGTGTTGTTTTCCTCCCCCCTGTACTTTATGTTGATTGTTTTTTGCTTCTTCCCCTGCTCTGTTACTCRTAATTAAATGGCTTGATTTGTATATATTATCTACTGTGATTTTCTCCCTCTCCACTTTAGTATACACAGATACACTGAGGCCTAATCTAACATATCTGTGTATCTATCTATTTTTAATTTACAAGAATATCTGACAGTAAGTAGCGAAAACTGGTTATTCACTGCTATTACTTTCTTTTTTAATTTTTTCATTTGGTRTTTTCCTACTTCATTTTCCTTTGCAACAATCTTTGACCTTATAACAGTTAGAATTTTTTCTTAAATCTCCATTTAATTTTTTTAGAGATATTTCTTAACTGCAGCATGCAAGCATGTTTTASTATTAGTATTAACTTAGTATTAGTTTGCCAGAGATGCAACCTCTGAGCATATATCAACTTCATAATAACTGTGAAAATAGTAAGAGTTTTGCTCTAGAACAAATTAAAAATTTTAAGTTGTGCCAGACTGGTCAAATATGGTTAGTTCCAAATCATAAAGTTCTTGGTAATTTTTGATGAATTTTTAACACCTTYTCCTGTTAGAAACTTGCAGTTAAAAAGTCAGGCTCTGAGATKAGCCTCACTATGAGATGAGCATGTCTGCTTGACTTCAGTGACATGTTGAATGCTTTAGTGCCCTTTGATGAAGACTAAACTTCTCTAAGTTAACAATAATACTCTTTCTAAATTAAGCTTAATTTAAGAGCTGTTGATGGAGGAAAATGATTTTTATATTTAAGCTAAGAAAATATTAAAATAATGAAGTCACTTTCTTTTCCCCTCATGTTAGGGGGAAAACATTTCTGCATTAAATTATGTTGCTGAATATGCTCCAGATCTTATTCTTTGAAAAACCTGGATTTTGAGGTATAATGGAATAATTTGAGTTGGTAGTGAAACTCTAATTTAAAATTTTGTTTCTTCTAACATCTGCACATGCTGACTAGCAGAGACATGCTTAAGAATGTTGCCAGTCTTCTCCACCCACATGCCCTCRGGAAACAGCCTGATGTAAACAGCTGCTGCAAGTTTTGTTCATGGAATTCTAAAAACCTTTACTGTGTCTGAAGGTTTCTTCCTGAAATAAAGTAGCAAGGTTCTTCAAAACAAGTATGCATTTGTATACAAAATCATCAACCACAACATTTCTAAAAGTTCTGGAAAGTTACAAAACTTCATGTGTGTAGGATATTCACAATTATGGTCCTTGTTGGTCCCTTCCAACTTATATTATTCTGTGATCCTGTTTTATTTGTTGTCACTGATAGCTTAGTTCTGTAGGAGAAGATGTATATGCTCAAATGTTAAGCCATCTGATAACCTTTAGTGACACTTCTAGTCTTTTGGGGCTTTTTTTCAATCCCTCCGACTTTTAGGTTTCAGTGTTAACCTTATTTTCTTCAGCACTGATTTTCTTCAACTGTGTAAGAGAAAGCTATCTCCACAGAAGAAGCTTAAGTGCATTGTACTGTAAACTAAAAGGGCTTGGCATTATGACAGCATGTAAATGTGCCGAGACACTTGCTAAAAAAATTTGCTTTAAAAGCATTCTACATGTATATGTGAATACTGTGGTGTAAGGTAACTGTTTTCGGGGAATTCTTCATATTARAATTCAGGATGTTCCTTTTTTACTCTGGCAATGTTCTAAAGAAAACTCTGTTCAAACCCTTCTAATGCTTAATGTTTTTCTTACAATGTGTTATAAATTCGGTTATTCTATACTGTCATTTCAGCAAACCTGTGATCTTGAAAATGTAAAGCCCGAAACAAAGCGGTATCTAGAGAAATCTGTTCAAGTGGGGAGAAGAAATGGACTCCATCTTCCTAAAGAAGTGCAGAAAGTAAATATGGACTATTGGTTTGTAAAGCAAAGGTTACAAACAGTTATGAAGGGATAAATTTATGGTTGGTTCGCTGTATTAAGCATATATTTGAATGTCATRCTTTTGGACCTGCTGATTTACTGCTCTAATCTTGACTGCTTCTAGATATGAACTGCTTCAGTCACTTGAAGGTTTTTAAACTAATCTGATAGGCAGCTGTGATACACAGTGGAAAGAGGTGGTATGCATCACCTTTTAGCCTTGCTGAAAATGTTTTGTTRTATGATTGCAAAGAATGCCTAAATTACATTCCTAGGGAAGAGACCTCTCAAAAAAATGTTACTAGTGAGTCGTACTTCTGTTCAAAAATATATATAACTATTGCAAACAGACAGCTGGGCTAGTTTCAGTTAGCTGATGTTGTAAAACCTGTGCAAGATTTTACCATTTCACCTGAAAAAAAAATCTGAGTAGGTCTAAGGAGAAGACAAGCTGCTCGGAGAACTTTTCTTCATTGCAGGGGACTGATTAGAAAGCAATTGTCACTTCAGAAAATCAGGAAGTAAAATGTGTTGAGATGAGACAAAACATCTGAGATGCTGTGGCACCTACCCTTAAGGGGAAGAGAGCCCCCAAGGTTCATGATGATTGTAGCTGAAAGGAGCAACAGAATCAGAGGGTCTACAAAAGCTTACAGAGTTTTATTGGTAAATTGTATATTTCGTGTGGAAATTGTATATTTTGTGTGGAAATTGATATGTTAGCCCCTGACCTAATATGACCACATGGGAGTGGGTTTTGGATAAAGGGAGTAGAATGAAAGAGAAAAGACATCGAGATAAATGAATTAAATAGAGGGAGAGAGAAGGAAGAAAGGGAGGAGGAAGGAGAAATCTCCATTCATGCCTCCAGTGTCAATCCAGCTGACAAGGTGTGCAGAGTCCTGGTGGTCCTGTTACGTAGATAAGCTTTCCTTGCCCTGGAGAAAAGTTTTGTACTTTTTGTGTAAATCAGTCGTCATGCACAGTCTGTTCTTTAGACTTTTCTGGAAACAGGTCAGAGGGCTTTAAGGGTATCTGGTGGTCTTGTAACCCCCCCCTCTACATTCCAGGCATGTTGCTTCACCTCATTTGTGTGTTTGTGCTGTTTTGAGTTGTGTTTATCTCCAGGAGCTGGATCAAGGACATTTGTCCCAGGAAAATGCTGTCCTACCTCGCTATGGCCCCTTGTCCAGTCACATCTTGTTCTTTCACAGCGTGCTATTGCCAGCAGTCCTTGGCTGCTGTTACCTGCAGTCCTTGGTTGGCGCCGTAGCTATGCAGCTATTGGTGTTTGAGATATGCTCCTTATCATCTGGGATTCTACAGATGCCAACATAGTTATCTTCAAATTCTGACTGATATTTCTGACTTTATTATGACCTTTATTTCTTTCTCACTGTTGAAGAGACTTAACCCTTTGTAGAAAAAAATTATTCTTCATCCACATCCTTCAGCTAGTAAGAACAGTTTGATATGTATTTCCATAGCTTAATAGTAACTGATGCCTCTAAAGGTATTTTGAAATCCTTTAGGAGACAACAGTTGAATTATATTTAGGTTAAAAAATTGGCTAATGGTAGTCTTTGCCAAGTGTTTTATTTGGTGTGCCTTCTCTTGCTGGTAACTACTATGTTTATTTGAACTTGACAATAAGGTATAGAAATTTGCTATGAGATATATGAGAAAATGTTTCAGAATCGTGAATAACAGAGTTTTAAAGAAGGTTTTGGAATRGCCTTGTGTTGTGAGAGCAGCTTCTTTCTACTATATCATACCCATATAATTCCAAAGTAATGTTTTTGAGTAAGTTGCATGCATTTTGATTCCCCTCATTCCATTTTCAGTGGATATTTTTACACTTAAAGTTGTAATTTAGCTTTTCAAATAAAATAAAATAATTGAATGTTAGGACATAAGTGAATGTGTTTAATCTGTTCAGCCCCCTTTGAGCTGAGCTTAAAATATTGGAGCAATAGCCCTTGGCAGCAGTATTGCTCAGGACCAAAAGAAACATAAAAGGAAGACAGTGATGCTACCTGCAATGTGCCATTTGCTCAGTCCTGGTATTCACTATTGGTTAATAGAGAGCCTATCTAAAAGAAATGAGGTGTTATGCATGTGAAGGATAAAAATTGTCAACTTTGATTTTTATTTTTTCACTAAGTTCAGTTTATTCCCAATACAGGAAATAAAGACAATGAAGAAAAAAATGAATGAGCTGTGTATAGATTTTAACAAAAACCTCAATGAGGAGAGCACATTTCTCATCTTTTCAAAGGAAGAACTTGGTGAGTAGCATGCTTGCTGTTTCTATTTTTTCAGCATTCCAGTTTCACCGGAGAAACTGGTTTTTGCCCCATGAGTGATGGTTAGATCAAGTGAAATATTGATAGTTTCCCAGTCTTTTCTGTTCCTCTTTAGTCCTTCTCCAGAATCAATTTAGGGTTATCTTTTGTGGGTGTTCATAATGTCTTCATACATTTGTTCTTCCTGAGCTGTTTGCGTTGCATATTGGTCCTAGTTCCTTTAGCATAACTTTACTCTGTTCCTTTTCTCAGTTATCATCAATCAGTACCCTGTATATTTTATTCTTAGTAATTATTGGAAAAGCTTTTTTAATCCTGCAATATATTTTAACTAATTCAGCAATTTAAACCAAGCTAGAGATTTCATGTGACAGAGAATTTGGGGATCCGTTATCTGAATGGCATCACAAAAAATGTGCTCTACTAAAAGAGATCTTTTATCTTATTCCGTATTTATCAGGTATTATCAGCCTTACATGTATTTCTCTTCTGCTCTCAATTGTTCTCAAATTTTGTTTTGCTTGGTGGAATTTGAAAAAGTTTAGCAAATAGTTGTAAAAAAAAGATATATTTCTCTGCAGGTTTCTGACGTCAAAGTAGATTGCAGCAAAACAAATGTGACAGTCTCACAAAAACTGGTGCAGTAGATAATTTAGGTAAACATTGTTTATTAAATTGTATTCTATAGATGGCCTTCCTGATGACTTTATTAACAGTTTAGAGAAGACTGAGAAAAACAAATATAAAGTTACCTTAAAGTATCCCCACTATTTTCCTGTTATGAAGAAGTGCTGCATTTCAGAAACCAGGAGAAAAATGGAATCTGCCTTTAACTCAAGATGCAAAGAGGTACGTTGTATATTGACTGTTCTGCAGTGCAGTGACAGAGTTGAAAAATGGATCTAGACATTGAAAGGTTATGTTTGAGTTCTGCATATTGTACAGCATTTGAAATCAAAACTTAGCAGCATGATCTTTAACAGTTCCTTACTCCGATTTATTCTGATGTCCTGATACCTTAGAAGTTCATGATCTGCCTCTGTGTGTATTTGTGGGTATCTTAATGTGCCAATGTTGCTCTTAATAGATGTGGGATTTTGATCTTTTCTGAAATTTCCCAGCAGTGTTCTGTAGATGCTTACTGACAGTTTTCTCACAGAAAAGGATGTCTGATGGCTTCAGTTGTAACTTCTGTAATCCTTTGGGATTCTTCAGAATAGAGAAGAGTTATTTAAGCACAGACTTTAATTATAAATACAGGTGATTAATTATGAGATTAACAGATGGCATATGTGCACAACTGGACAAGTGTAAAAATAAAATAACGATTGAACRGGTAGAGGATGTGTCATTCAGACAATTGTTCTGTATAACCATGCATTGGAGAACAATAGCAGAGTTGAGCTTTTGTGCTGGAAATGCTGGGAAATGTGATGAGTACAAGATAAAATGGCACCAGGAATTGAACACTTTGCAAGTCAACACACATAAGGAGATTTAATGATCAAATTTTGGGACAGTCTTTGRATCTAGTGTCTGATTTTTCTTCTCCCCTGAGAAGTCTCACTTTTCCAGAACTAGAGGCTTACACAGTWATGTTTTCAGCTTCTCGAGGATTCTTCAACATGTTTAGGTCCATATCTGGGGTTTTGTGTTTCAGATCTTTGTCTGATTGCTATTGTCAGAGTGGCAAAAGAAGGAAATTTGCAAACAAGCTTTGAGTGTTGGCATAATGGATTAGCAATCTGTCTTCATCAGTAACAAGGAATTAAGCCTGCTGTCAGCAATTTCCCTGTTACCTTTCGCATGTAAATGATTGATAAAGGAAATAAACTCTTCACAACAGTCAAAGATTGGTTATTATCCTAAAAGGAAATGGTGTATATTTTGATTAATTTAAAAAGCTAAGTTATAATAAGGAGCATAATGAATGAGGTCAACTCGAAAACCAGCCACCTGCTGTCAAATGCTRAGAAGAAAAATTCCAAGAGTCTAATAAACTTAGGTTATTTTATATTTTTATCTTAAAGTGTTTCAATTGAAATGTCTTTTGTTTCATAGGATTGCAGATACTATTGAGATAACTGTTTTGATAACATGTGTTTTCCAGTTTCATTTTACAAATTTGCCTGCCTTCTTTTTTAGGAGAACACAAAAATTCTGCAGCAATTGCTCCCGCTAAGGGCAAAAGTAGCAGAACTTCTTGGTTACAATACACATGCCAACTTTGTCCTGGAGGTAAACACTGCAAAGAGCACAGATAACGTAACAACCTTCTTAGGTTTGTTCATATTTATAAGCAATACTTGTATATTTAATGTAGCAACGTGTCTCCTCAGCCAAGATGAATTTAAATACATAACTGGGTCACAATGTCCATGAGGTTTAGCTAGAAAAAGAACTCTGCTGCCTCTGTTCTGGCATATATTTTTTAGACCATAGCTGTGCAAATGCAGTTGCTCCAAATCAGGAAGCACAAGGCAAATTCTGAGAATAACTGCTTTGTGACTGCCARTATAAGCAAGTGGTTAAGTCTTTCTCTGCCCCAAAATGGAGTTACACTAATTTAGAACCAGAGAACATGTGAACATTTAGAACATTTAGAACATGTGCAGCTGAAGCAATTTTATCTGTTCAAGAGGCTGCGTCAGAACTGCAGTTTTTCGTTCCAGGATTTTTTGCATCTGTAGCCTTAGTGTCTTTTTTGGATACAGCTGCATTAAGTATAATGAAAGATTACATTATGTGATGATGCAACTTCCATGAGGTGAATTAAAAATTTGTTCCTGGAGAAATGGTTAAACTCTGGAATTCAGAAGCCCTGTAATAGAATTTGATCTGAAAACAGCTATCTTGAAAATTTTAAACATAGCAGTTCATGGATTTAGAGTCATCCTGTTGATATCAGTGGACTCTTGTGCATGGAGTTAACCCATACTTTCTGGAATTATGTAGCTCCACAGAATAGTATGTGTTCTTTTTATTACTATGTCCTGGCACCACTTTGGAATGTGTATCATACAAWTAACGCCCCAAATGAATTAGTGTAAAAATGAGGTATGTTTGTTGATAGTAGTATTTTTGTGTTTAAGCATCAATAAAGAGGTTCAAATGTTCCTCTTTCCAAACCTGTAATTCTGCTGTATTTCTCCTGACATGCCTCTTCATGAGATCAGATCCATATTTGACAATATCGATTATCAGTATACTTGAAAATTATACTTACTTACTTTTGATTTACGTTAGATATTTTTAAATGTACTTTAAGTATTTGAGACTTCCTTCAATCCATTATGTTATTGTAATACTGTGTTTTTTCATTTATTTTGCAGCTGAACACATAATTTAGCAGCTGCTTTTTACAGTATGAGACCAGATACTTCTCTATTCATAAATATCATGCTTCATGGTAATTCTCACAGAGGGAGCATGTACATAACTTAATTATTTTGATATATCCTCAGCTACAAGCATGATAGTGTGTTTTGCTCTACTTTGTTCGTGTCTATTCATGTTTTAAATCAAATGTTCATAAGCTGATCTTATGTCTAGGAAGAAGAACATTTTTCTCCTATGACATATTCTGAATTTAGCACAGTACAAGCTACAGACAGTATTTCAGTCGTGTAAATGCTTTTAGTGCCTTGCAGCCTTCCTAGAAACAGGAGTGGCAATTCCTAAATTTTATGCTGTAGATATCAACAATGAAATAAATGTGAATTCTTGATGAAGAAAAAGGTTTCTGATAAACCAGAAATACTGACAAGAGAATAAGTACAAGATATACTTTATGGAAGTTTCAGTAAGCTTAAATGTTTTGTATTCAATATGTCTGCTTCATAGTACTATGATGCCTTCTTGTCCAGGAAAAGTATATTGGAAAAAAATTGCATCATAGAGCTTAGTATCCAGAGGCTTTGCTAGTGTAGAAGTCAGCCATCCTATAGGCAAAAACTCTTAAATCTTTTGGTTTTTCATAGGACTTTACCTAGAAGTATTGAATTTTGTGTTGYACTTTCTTCCAGTAAGTAGTAATAGTCTTCGGCTGTTGCTGAAGAAATGTATGAGGAATACTGAGATTACATGAAGTAATATCAAAGGATTCAAGCATGAATGTCTGGTGTTACTTTTAGTTTCTGATATCTTTGGAAAAGTCTAAATTTACCAAAACCATTCACAGCACTCTTCAGCCTACATTAAATACTGTATCATTTATAGCATTCCTGCAATTAAAACTCCTTAGTCTGCATATGTTACTTGGTTGGGCAATAAACGGAAAACTTTCACTTCTGGAGCATGTGCTTGAAATGGACTTTATAGGAATGCGCATTATAGTAAAGAACATGGAAGTTGACTCAAAGGCATTCTTTATTCCAGATGATTTGAGTRAGAAGCTAAAGCCGTTGGTTGAGGAAGAAAGACAATTTATTCTAGATCTGAAGAAAAAGGAATGTAAAGAAAGAAACTTTGATTATGATGGGAGAATTAATGCATGGGATCTTCATTATTATATGAACAAAACTGAAGAGCTAAAGTACTCCATAGATCAAGAAAAACTGAAGGAATATTTCCCAATTGAGGCTGTTACAGAAGGCTTGCTGAATATTTACCAGAAGCTGCTGGGACTTGAATTTGAGCAAATAGAAAGTCCTCATGTTTGGCATGACAGTGTTACTCTTTATACAGTAAAGGATAAATCAACAGGAGAGCTGCTAGGGCAGTTCTATTTGGATCTTTACCCCAGGTAATTATGGCTTAGTGCTTTGTTTACATGTTTAACATGGAATTTGTCTTAATGGGTTGCTGCTTGTGTGGTTAAAATTAAACGCATTTAAAAGTAAATATTTGTTCTACTGACAAGACTATTACTGTGTTCATTAAATTGTTCTCTGGACTCTGCTCAGATTTTTTATGTTAATTTTTTTGGAAGTACTTCCACATTTCTTGCTTATATTCATTTTATGAGGCATTGTTCTATCATTCGTCTTTTTGGTAGTACTGCTGTGTACTCAGTCGTCCATAATTTTTTGCATCTATGAGCTTTTCTCCTTACTAATGTAATATTAGGTTTTAATTTTCATTTCTGTTGAACTGTTACTTCAGCCTGCTCAGATTAATTATATTTCTGTCTGCCAAGTGTTCYTAGTTTCTGCCAGTTCTTCTTTATACTTTAGGTATATTTTACACCCTGTTATCCATACTGCTAAAGAAAATATCAAATAGATCAGCACCAAGAATAGATTCCTGTTGAGCATGAATTCAGATTTACTTCCATGTTGATCTCTGTAGCTTTCCAGCTCTCTTTGTAACTATTTACAGCATTATCTGTGTTTTGTCAAAGATTCGGAGACTAGACTGATTTGACAGGATTTATTCTGTCCTTTTTTTTCCTTTATTGTGTGGTCCTTTTTGGCTATTGGTCGCTGTTTTTTATTTGCTTTGGTGTAGGGTTTTTTAGATTAGTATTTATCATTTTATAAATTTGCTGCTATTCTTTTCTAATGAAAGTTTATTAAAGGTCTTCTGGCCTAAGAAAATTAGATTACTCAATATATTAGTGCATAAATTGATCTTTCTACAGTAACATGCCTATCTCCTTCACCTCTTTACCTGCTTCCACATTTACATATATCATGTGAATTGCTGAAGGTATGTGTTAGTAACTCTGACTTAATGCCGTAACTGAATAGTTTAGGGCAAAAATTTCAAAATAATTTTTCTTTTAACATTTGTGTCACAGTGAAAATGCAATGTGCTCTATTCTTTTGCCTCCTGTAATTAAGAAAAAACACTGCATAAGAATGTAGTCCTTMCTGTTGCAGCAGCAGTTTAAAACACAGTTGACATCTGAAGTATATCTAACTTCAGCATTTCAGTAAAAAATAGATTCTTTAAATGCTGCCGGGAATCTGTAAATGGTGTGATTCCAGTCTGAGAGTAAAGGGACTTCTATTCCATTGTGCTCTTAATTTAGCAAGTCTTAGAAGTCATGAAAAGATGCACATTTTTCATGTAAAACTTTGTGTAAGAGACACTGACCAATTGTCCCTGCTCATGAATGGGCTTCGCCATTCTGATGAGCAGGCTTGTGGTTGAAGATAGTGTCTGATGTATTTTCTTGTACAGAGAGGGGAAGTATGGGCATGCAGCCTGCTTTGGTCTACAGCCYGGCTGTCTTCTCGGTGATGGCAGCAGATTGATGTCTGTAGCTGCTCTGGTAACCAACTTCACAAAACCAGCATCGGGCCTTCCATCCTTGCTGCGACATGACGAAGTAAAGACTTACTTCCATGAATTTGGTCACGTAATGCATCAGATATGTGCACAGGTGAGTGATGTTTCTATTCCAGTGTAAGACTTCCTTGTTTCTCCGCTGTCTCAAAGCAAGATATATCTATTTTGGTGGTTTCTAATTTAAGTAAAGCATTTATGCAGAGTTCTGATTATTTTTTGAAGCATCAGGTTCATTTTTTGTTTTAATATTTATTTAAAATTGTAACCATGAATATACCTTCTTATGAAAAACATTTTCGTAGGAATATGTACTTTTGCATTTCCTTCATGTAGAAGTCTATTCACTCACGACAGGTACAAGTGTAAGGTGAGAAGATGCTCAGTCAAGGCTTCATTCGGAGGGCTTTATATTACTTCTAGTTTCACTCTAGGTATTAGGAAAAAAAATGTGCCTAAAAATGAAAATAGTTTCTGAAGCTAGATGACCTCCAGCATTTTGGCATTTAGTGCTGGTGAGAGCTGTCACTCTTGACATCACCATCATAAAACAGGTCTTGCCTGAACCATTTTATTTCTTTCATATCTGACAGGTTAGGTTTATTGCAGTGACCAGCAGGAACTGAAGATATTTTCAGATTTTCCATCAAGATACCAATAAAGTCATAAAATTGCTGTTTTAATTTTTACTTACATGTGTAATTGATTCTGCCAGATGATAAATCATTAGTCTAACGAAAATTTTATATTTCAGAAAGAGATAAGTGTCAGTATTCACACACCAAAAAATTCACGTAGTTATCTACAAATTCAGATTTTGTGTAGCACTTCTTTTGTCTTCTGTATAAACAAATACCAAATAATAAAATCAAGCAAAAACAACCCACATTAGATTTTAATTCTTGACCACGATCCTAGAGACTGGGACTGCGCTATAAAGAAACAATGTCATCATAGAAATCCATGTATTAAATCCAGAGTTAATTAGTAGGTAGGCTTTCTTAGATATTTTTTAATCATCTTAAAGGTAAAAATATAATTATTATTTTATCATCTTTATCTTGTGATAAGTGTTTCTGATGTAAAAAATTGAGGAATGAAACCTGGACAATATAGAAGGTTGTTTATAAATGCAGCACATTTGGCATTGGTATAAAACAGTACAGAACTGACAACATTTTGACAATCATGAGGATGTGCCTGGGTGTTTTGAGTCCCTTTGGGACAGCCAAAGCCAACAATTCCAATGAGTATGTGCCTCAGTTGCTATGGAATTGCAGGTGGATCAGGGAGGCTTGCTTTTCAGTTGTCTCTCACACTGCTCTGGTGTTTTCTGTGTTCCCAGCTGCCATATGTACTTTTCCTGTATTGTATGTAAATAGTTATTTGCCTGTGTGCAAACTTGCTAGTCCCACATAAGAACATCCTGTCCTCGGAATTTGTGTGCATAGAGCACTGTCTCATTTCATATGATGATTTGTTTAAGCATGTTAAGACTTGCCATTTAAATGCTATGCAAGGGTGAGACTGGGAGGGAGCTTCTAAGCTGTTGGTAAAGGTATGATATTCTGTGTAATACACTGGAAAAGTAAGATATACTGTTGGAGAGTGAGATCAGGGCAGAGAGGGSATTTGTTTATGCTGTTCAGGAAGGAGAGCTCTTGAAATAACTTGAACCGAATGTCTTGGTGTGTTTTGTTAGCGTGGTGCACTTGTGTATTACCTGAAGGTAATACAAATGAAGGTATCTGAAGGCCACTTGCCTTTTGGTCTAGCCACTTCTATCATCATTTCTTCCCTGAAAAAGATGGTGTTTCCCTGATGCTTCTTAGTTTTTCTTCATAGCTGCTATTCAGCAAGGACAGGAAGAAGGGCYAGCCTGTTACAACTATGAATTTGAGCAGCCTGCAAGAGTAAACAAAATCAAAAGTTTTATCCTTTTGTGTTGGTCTTCTAAACATGTGAGAGGAAGACACATGCAACACAGATGTTAGTTCAAGTTTGTGTGCTGTGTTATACATGCTTTTTTTGATAACCCTGCAAKAAAGTAAGCTCAAAAGCCTGAAATCCTATGAATATCCAGGTGTAGGATGGATTGTAAGAATGTCAACARTTCTTAGAAAGGACAGTGAAAATTTTTTAGCACTTAAAATGTTTCATTGGTATGTTAATGGGAAGGGAAAAAATACAAAATTGGTCTGGCAAGAGGAGATAGACTTATTGCAAGAAAAGGGCAGAGTGGTGTTAGGAAGGCTCTGCAGAGGGATGCAGGCAGACCAGTTGCATAAGGTTCAACAAAGGCTTGTTCTTGGGTCCTGCCCTTGGGTCACMACAACCCCAGGCAGTGCCACAGGCTGGGGCAGAGTGGCTGGAAAGCTGCCCASRGGAAAAGGACCTGGGGGTGCTGGTGACAGCGGCTGAACATGAGCCAGGGTGTGCCCAGGTGGCCAAGAAGGCCAATGGCATCCTGGCCTGGATCAGCAATGGTGTGGCCAGCAGGAGCAGGACAGGGATTGTCCCCCTGTCCTGGCACTACTGGGGCCACACCTCAAACCCTGTGTTCAGCTCTGGGCACTCAGTTCAGGAGRGTCATTCTGGTGCTGGAGCACATCCAGAGAAGGGCAACAGACCTGGTGAAGGGCCTGGAGCACAAGTCCTGTGAGGAGCAGTTGAGGGAGCTGGGAAATGATGGACTCAGAATCCCTGGAAGCATTTAAAAACATGTGGATATGGTCCCTGAGGACATGGGTCAACAGCTTAATGGTGAACATGGTGTTGATGCTGGGTTGGTGGTTGTACTCGATAATCTTAAAAGTATTTTCTAACCTTTACAATGCTGTGATTCTATGACACCAAATAATTTCAGAGATGACTTTTTAGAAATATTTGGATTTGGAATATATTGTAATAAAGATTCTTAAATGTACAAACTTTTCTTCAAAATTATTATTGGGGGAGCTTCTTAAGCATGAAGTTATTGCTGATACTAAAATAAAGAACAAAAAGTTCTAATGTGCTTAGCTTTCAGAGGAAAGATTCTTTTATCGAAGTGTCACATTTGAAAACTATTCATGGATAAGGTTGCTAAGATTTAGTAAATTCAGTCCATCTATTACTGGCTAAAGAAATTGTGCCATATGTTTGCCACATATATTACAAACTAAATAGGACAACATTTACTAGAATAAGATGGTTAATTAAAGTCTGTGAATCATTGTGGTAGACTGCAATACCATAAACTTTTTAAAGGGGAGTTGGAGTTTATTGTTTTACTTTGGGGTAGTACAACAGAATTYTCTAATAATTGACAAATTATATCCTTGTCACAAGACAGCATGAAAACATTTGTATTGCTGTCATAACCTAAAAGGTAAAAAWGAATAATACTAAACAAATTTAAGTACTGTTCCACACAAGTAGATATTCTGATATAACCGCATTAATGAATATAACTATTGAGTAATGTACTTTATTCCTTGGTAATAGTCTTATATCTGATCTTTTTCCTCCTTTGTTTACATTTCATTTTAATTTATTACTATTATTATTATTGGTCCGTTCAAATTATTTCTTTTGCTGTGATTTAAACTGAAATTTTGACACCTGAAATCTTACATTCKTTTAGAAATCTTGGCTTCTATTTTAATTTAATTCAATGGCTTTTTTTCTAGACTGATTTTGCAAGGTTTAGTGGAACTAATGTGGAAACAGACTTTGTAGAAGTACCTTCGCAAATGTTTGAGAAYTGGGTGTGGGAAAAAGAGCCACTACAACAGATGTCAAGACATTATAAAGATGCGACGCATGTTGGAGACACTCTCCTTGAGAAACTTGCTGCCTCTAGGCTTGCTAATACAGGTATATTTCTGCCTTTTCTTCCCACAGTGTATGTATAAAAGTATATAATTAAAAAACCTGACAAACACAACAAGCATTWTTAAATAGCTTATGTACTCTTGTGTACACGTATCACTGTCTTTCTGGGTGTATTTGCGTGGGTACCCCCACTAATAAAGGCTATGATGGCAGATAGAACTCTTTGCAGGAACAGTAGTTGCTCTGATTTTCCAGGCTATGTAATTGACTAAAATACCTTTCCAGTCCATGTAACTTTTTAACCTACCAATTTYGTTCGTGGTGTGTTGTGTGGTAGGTGAAGGAGGGTGGTCTGGTGTGGTTTTTGTGGGTTTTTGGTTATCTTATTTGTACTCCAGAGCAGGCACTGTGCATGAATATATGTATTGTCTACATTTGATTTGCATGCGACACTTGACAGATACGAAAGTTATTCAYGAATTTACTGAACAGACATAATATATACCAGACAGAACTGTTGTAGACCTATCATGTATTTCCAAACTAAGATCGTAATCTCTTGTCATTACCCATCATGTCATTACTACTCTATCACTCCCACCTCTTCACTCTTGTAGTGTGATCTTCTCATTTATGGTACAATTAACTCCTGTTGATTTCAAACTGCTTTCCTATCCTGAACAAGAAGTCTTTGTCCTTGTGGCTTGGATAGAGTCTAGCTGCATAAGCGATTTGTCTGAGTAAAGGTTCACATCTTGTTGCTTCTTTAAAAAAAACATGGAGCAGCTGCAGCAGCAGTTCTTGATGTCCTTTGAAGTGTCTTAGGGTAGATCTACTGTGCAGGCCCTGATTGAAATTGTATATGGTAAACGACAACAGCTGAAAATATTTTAAATATTAAAATTGGCTTTTAAAATATCTGCTTTATTTTAGTTTTGATCTGTGAGGAAAATTACATTTGAAAATATGGAGCTTAGCATGGTAATTCCTTTATTAACATGCCTCTCAACCCTTTGTAACTGGAGTGATTCTGATGGAAATGATGTAACTCCAAAATTCTAATAATGTAGTATGCCTGCTGAGATCTTTGAAGGAAAGATGTAAATGAAACTCCAGCTATTTTGATGCTGGTTAATTAAATGTTTTTACTCAATTAGGCCTTCTAACCCTTCGTCAGATTGTTCTGAGCAAAGTTGACCAGGCATTGCATACAAAGCTGTCTGTTGACCCAGCAGATGAATATGCTAAATACTGTGTGGAGATTCTAGGAATTCCTGCAAGCCCAGGTATGTCAGTTTGAWGCTTTTACACAGCATGTCAAAATGGTTTGATGTAACATGACTTTCTTTCCCAATAATTTTGGCACACAAAGACCAGATTTGTTTATGGAATAATCTACTTTATGAAGCTTAAATCATTATTTTGAAACTTAGGGTGATCTTAATGATCTCTGCTGARGGAAGATTAGGGTAAATATAAAACTTAGATGTTATGTCACATCTATGTTGGATGTAAAAGTAGCTCAATATGGGAAATTAGGTTTAATTTGTTTTCAATAGAGTATGTCCAATACTTTGAGGCATATTCAGACCCTTTTGATTAAAAGTAGTTGATATAAATTCCTTAGTAACTTGTTGTTGAAGTACTGTATACATCAAAGAAATGTCTGCATTTGATTTTAATAACTTGAAGTTAATCTGCTTTTCAAGGAACAAACATGCCGGCTACTTTTGGACATTTGGCAGGTGGTTATGATGGTCAGTACTATGGATACCTGTGGAGTGAAGTGTTTTCCATGGATATCTTTTATAGCTGCTTTAAGCAAGAAGGAATAATGAATCCAAAGGTAGGTGATGAATACTTTTTCATAAAACTTCTGTTGCACTTTGTCRTTGAAACCACATTTATTGCTGTCATGATCCATAAGTTTACCATCTCAAGTACTACTTCTGTACCTGTCAGGTTGAGATTGATAACAAAAAAAGGTGTAAAAGTAACTTTTATGAAATCATCTTTAAATTTCCAAGAGCGGTTGATTTTAGTACAATTCTAGCATCATCATAGTCATCATATCTTTAATACTATAGCAATTTTAAGATATTGTGTTGCTTTTTCTAATGCCTTCCTCTGTAATTTTAGACTGAAAAGACATTCCTCCATTGCAAGAGCAGATGCATGTTGGTCTGCTGTGAAACCTGTATTATAGTGATGCTTGGTCTCTTTCACATTTCCATTGTTCCATTACATTTTGTGTACCTCAACTGTGTGGTCCTTTTATGTAGCTACTGTTTAGAAAACTGGATTTAATTTGAGCTTTCTCTGTCACAGCACAGCAGAATGTCAAAATTTTTTCATCTTCAGTTTAACTCCCAAGTCCCSTTTGAAGTCCAAATCATTAAGAGATTCTAGATTTACTGGCTCTTTTTTTCCCTTGTGTAATTCTCCACCATCTTCTGCCTCCAGCAGAAAAAAAGGATAATTAGTGACATGTTTAGTAGTCGTGCAAATTCTGGCAATGTTTTTCAGAGATTATAGTGTTAGACTTGAGCTGAGGTGCTGCAGATGAGATAGATTAATTCTGTGATGGAAAAGACCTTTTGGTTTTCCTGATCCTCTTAACTGTGTTCTTGATTCAACTGCCATCACTAGTTCTTCCTTTCAATAGAAATATAAAAGAGAGAAATAAAAGAAGGAGTAGAAAATGCGTGTCTGTCCTTTTCCTCTCCTGGAATTTGCCTTCTCTCCTCCCTGTCCTTTTTACACCACCCAGAACTTTCAGAACTGTCCATCCCTCTAGACTGTGGAGACAGTAAACAAGATTAGACTTTGACCCAGACAAAGAGAGGAATCCACATAGCAGGTGGGGTAGGGCTGGGAAACCATGGTAGCGGTTAGGCCAACAAAACCCAAAAGGAGTTTTATGAAGAAAAGCTGCCAACTTCACTGTTTGAGAGAAGAAGTGACGTAGGTTTGGAGGTTACAATTGATCTTGAAGCGATTGGGACATGATAGGTTCATGTGAGAATAAGCATACCTGCATATTCATTGGTAATCTTGTCACTCATAAGTAAAAGCAGTTGAAAAGAAGTATCAAGTTAAATGAGTAAATAAAATAACTTTCAAAGAAATGTTGTTCATATGGATCTTAAAAATTGTATTTCAGGAGGGGTCAGACTTGCTGCTTTCTACAACTGTTAGCATTAAGAAAACATGGTAAAGGGTGCTGGTGCCAAACCTGTGGGACTTAGTGTCAGTTTTGTGTTCTGACATGCCCACATCCCTTCAGTGTCATCCCACTTTTGTTCTGTCTGTTTTACTCTTCAGTCTCAGAAATCTGTTTTGAGTGACTGAATAGTCAAAACCCTAATCTRTAGTTTGCCAAAATTGTTCTTTTATCTTTTCTTCTCCTGAGGGATGCCTTTTGTTCTGATTTTCCGTGAGGATTTTTGTTTTCTTTGCCTGTGCAYGGGAGGCTTTGTTAATTAATTAACAGTAAATATTTTTGTGGAACAGCTGAAAGCCAACTAGTGCCTCTTTTGTTGTGAAGCATGTTATCCAGGCTCAGAAGTGAGGAAGAAAATTGATTATTTTTGTGGGTCATTGCTCTCTAGCGTATGTGTGCACAAACACTTTGCATGAATGTTGATATAACTTTAGGAGTGGYTCTGGAGAGTTTTTTCCCTCTTCAATGCTGTCTTTTCAAATTAGTTCTCTTTTTACCCAACAAAGTGTGATAGCAACCCACAGGATGGGRCAAACATTTTTGTACAAACAAATACCAGATACCAGTATATTTTTTGTAGTTATTCATACTTCATTATATCTAGATTTAGACTAGCCTTCAGAAAAGTAGAAAACAAAAATGGTTATGTTATTATGATTCGGGCTTTCAGAAGTTTGGCCTACTTCTTCCTGTTTGAATAAAACCTCTCCTATTTTGAGCAGCTGTTATACAACCTAATTCCAGAGACTGAATCTATAAAAATTCTTCAGCAAACAAGTAACTCTAACTTAATTGGTAGCCACACTCCTCAATTCTTGCACAGTATCTGAAATAACTTCTGGTCTCCCTAAAACTCAGCAGTATTCTGGCTCTGAGGGGGCAAAAGCAAAGACTCATGTCTACTCAAATAATATTTTTTAACTACAAGGAACAATATATTTATTTGCTGCTAATGTTCAGGAAACTAACACAAATAGTGAAGTGTAAGTGATGCATCAGGGAGGGTTTTAAAAATAATTATGATTTGTTTTTATTTTATTTTTGATTTTTCCAGCTGTARTTCCAGCAATGTGACTGGTAGTTCAATTAAGTCATGGAGGTCCATCACTGAAAAACACCTATGCTTGTTTTTACAGTACAGTGAGGAAACTGTCGTGCTKTTGAGTTGTGGGAGAAAGGCATATGTGTATATTAAATTATTCTAAAAGGAAGAACRTTGTCTTCTTCAATATCAGAAGCATCTGGGACATCTGCGTGCTAAATAACATTTTCTCATTTATATTCATGTCTCAGAACCCCAGAATTCTCCATATATATGATGTTCTTTCAAATAAAACTTCTTGCTAAGAAACTTCAGTTACTTACTGTTGCCTAGAAACTTCATGTTTTTAAAGGAATCCATTCTTTCTGAAGCAATAATAATGTTTCTTCCTGAAATTAAAACCTGAGTTAAGTCTCATTTTCTGTAAAGTACTTTAATAGGTGAGTTAGACATGTTTGTATGTGTGGTATGTACGATYGTGTATATTCTATGGGTGTGCCATTCCACTGTGCTATACCTATCTTACCTCTGAAGTACCATTTCTGTTCTCTAAAYAGAGATAAAAGAAAGAGAAATCGTCAGGGAGAGAAATTATTTTGGGTTCTCTCTTCCTGCCTGTCAGTCACAGGGATAATCCTTCACTGAAGATTTTGAGGAGGTTGTATGTTTGTTATGCTTTATAGAATGTCTGCCAGACAAGTTGTGATCATAGCTTCAAAACCAGTGTAAAACCACAAGAAAAATAATTTCTTTATAACTGGTCAAGTTTCTGTTCTCTTGAGTTCTTCCAGCAGATCTAAATGATACTTGTGATATATCTTGTTATATCCTAATTTGGTATTAGGAAAACCTGAAAGGAGGAAAGTTGTTTTATCCTGAGTAGATTTTTAAACATGCAACAAATGCAGAAAAAGAGGCAGTTGGCAAGATAAGGTGTACTGACATTCTTTTTTACCTTCTATCAGGCTGGGATGAAGTACAGAAACCTCATTTTGAAACCTGGAGGATCTTTGGATGGAATGGATATGCTACAAAATTTCTTGGAGCGTAAACCAAGCCAGAGGGCTTTCCTGTTGAGTAAGGGATTACATGTTCAGTAAAGTTATGATTCCTTTGTAATGACATATAAGTATGGAATGAGCTGGAAACGTCAGTGTAATTCACATTTTAACTGTGTATCAGTCTAGGGAAACTAGGGTCATTTTTTGATGATTTTTTAAAATTGTATAAATAAAAATTTGACTTTTTAAAAAATTTCATAGGACAAAATCCAGCACATCAGGGAAAAAAAAAAATTTGAAATGTGCAGAAGCTGAGGAATTTGGATGGTAATTTTTTTAAAATTGTTTTGAAATAGTACTAATTAATGCTAAGCAGTATGAGGAATTAATGCCTTGTTTCTCTTTTAATAGATGCACTTAAATTATGTCTTGTGAATGAATTTTAAAACTGAAGGGGATAAAAAAGACACTACCAGCAATAAAGCACACATTCATTCTTATTGTCTATTCTCTRTTCTCTGTTGTATTGGTTGCTCGTCAGTGTCTCTGATGGAGAGGAAGTATATTTGATTTTGTCATTGTTTGGGCTCAGTCTAGCTACCTGACAAATCGCAAGATTGAGAACTGCTGCAGATGACTTGACAGCAGAGATGTTTGTTGATGCTTTAAGACTTAATTCTGATGCATGTTAAATTTTTGTACCATTTATATGCTTAAATAATATAACTAAAAAGGAAAAAAGAATCAGCCAAAATCTGTGACTTTTATCAGTTCTTCCGCTAYTTTTTCTTTTCTGTTGTTGAACAAAAATCAGGTCTTTGTTTTCCAAATTATATTAACACTGGCACAGTAATGTTGTACTTGAGCAATTATAATTGCTTCAGTTGGTTTGTTAAGTATTTTGAGATATAAATAAGGAAGGAAGAAAAYAAGATCTCCGTGATGGGAATGATAAAAGTCAATTAAAAGTTTTTCTGTTCCTTTCCAGTGTAGCATGCAAAGATGCTACAAAAAAGTGCAATAGATTTAAGGATTTCAGCAGTGGGAGTGTGAAAGTAATCAAGGAATTATTCTGCAGTTTTTCTGCAAAATCAAGAAAAAAAAATCTTGCAAGYCAAGCCTACACCATCTAAATAAAGCTGTTAATCCAAGTGGACTTTTCWTGTCTTAGGTATCATATCTTACTGTGGTTTTATTATTACAGCATGTATATAAACAACTTTTTAATTTTGTTTACTAGTCATTATATTTTAGACATTTGAATTGCAACTGTAATCATAGTTGGTATTTTTATTTTCTGTGAAACAGGGAAATAAGAAAATGCGCCTGGTCAACTCAAAAGATTTATTTCTCTAGCAAAAGAAAACTGATATCATTCACTTTGGGTCAAATCTGTCGATTTGTTTTGGTGGAAAATACCTGACAATTGGGTATGTTCTCACTATTTGTGAGTGTTTCTGAAAGTGAGAAACTTTATTTTTTGCTTCTCTTTGTTCTTTTAAAGCATTCACACTGGGGAGTTAAAAATGTGCCTAATTAGTTTCTGAAATGGAACATTTGAAAGATCTGATCTTTGAACTGCAGCAGTTAGATGTGAGGAATCATACCTATTTGTAGCCAAAACAGACTAACTTTATAGTCTTACCAGACCACACACCAGACTCTTGTAGTCAGTTACAGTTTTAGGCCACAGTTCTGCTCCGTCATGTGTAAGAACATCTTGAACAGCATTCAGCATGGCCAGAATGGAAAGCTGAGGAACCAGATGAACACAAGATTATCCCAAAACCTATTAATTTTGCCTAGATTGGTTTCCTTTACATTCTTTTGCTTACAGTATTTTGCTGTCTTTTTATAAGTGTTTAATTCTTGTGATTCTGTCTTATGTTTTTTTTCTTTCACACTGTAATGACAGCTCCAAAGAATGAAAAAATTGTAAAACATATACTGAGTGATACTTTCCCCAAACGAATCTGCAAATCTAAGCAATGAAACCTCTATTAAGAAGCAAAATGCAGTTTCTGTTTTACAGTTGGTAGGCAGATTTCCACATGAGGGAGACCTTTCTCTACATAAATCAGCAGTCTTGGATCAAGGTAAATAATTTTAAGTACAGTAATTGTAGACAAAAATAYRCAGTGATCAGAAGTCATATGGTGAKTTAAAAGTTAGCTTTAGAAGACTACGGATGGTAATTATGACAATTTAATTGACTTTTGCATTTTCTTACTCTTTAATGTGTGTTTGTGGGCTGTACAATCTAGAGTAGCCAAGGTATGGAAGTGCAGGAGAACATGTGCTGTTTCTTGTGTTTGAAAATGCCTGTGTGATTGTACAGTTATATTAGCAGCAAACGGATGTCCCTGTGTGTAGGGAGGAAGAAACTGAACCATATTGTAACTACAAATGAAATTGTTATGTCCCATATCTGTTCCAAAAGAGTCAGATCAGCCTATGGCTAAAACTACACTCAACACAGAAGACTAATGGTTATGTTCTGAATTGCTTATGAAATGTTCATGTGGTAACATATCAAACTTCTCTGCTAAGTTTTATATTGGCTTTGTGGAGCTTTTTGAATTAAATTTGGGTTGGTTTAAATGATTTTTCCTTTCCAACTAAAAGTTATTCTGTGATTCTATGAAATCCATGTTCACATTTTCAATTATAAATATCTGGTCTTGGAATGGGAAAGTAACCTGGAGAAAAACATATTTCCTGTTTCTGCACCTGTCTATAATAGGTATAAAACTTKGATTAGGAAGAAGCATTTTCTGACACTATCTGAAGGCTGTGATATGGAGTCCCCCAGGAACACTTCTTCAGATTTGGGAACAAGATCCAATTACCTTGACACTGTAGGAAACAATCACATATATGAAGCCATGCCAAGATGTCTGACTATTCTAGAGTTGCTAGAATAGCTTCCACTGAATTAAATTTCAAAACTAGAAAGCCTCAGTTTACTTCAACCCAACTTCAAGTATTCACTGTCATAAACAAGAAAGTAATTTGTAGTTTTTGTCTGTAACAAACAGCTTCCTTTTAACGTTAGTACGGTATCTTCTTAGAATTTCACTGAATTTAGAATTATTATTTTCTTGTCTTAGAAATTCAGATTGGACTTGGGCTTCGCAATAAAAACTTCAAAGGAAAGTGAAAGGGTGAAATCAGAGACCTGGGAGAGAGTGCCTGTTATCCACTGAGTAACTGGATAACAGGCAATGGCTTTCTGTTGCTTCACTGTAAAGGATGGAATGGTCTGAGCGTGCGACTTCGTCACGAGATGCATAGGTGATGGCCTCAGCAGCCCCTGCCATCCAGTTGTCTGACGTAGGTTCATCATGTGGGCTCTTTCTGGATTGCCTGCCAGCCAAGTGATCAAACCTAAATGGTAAAAAACAGCCTGGACTAGAGGTTTAAACTTTGCCGGGTGAGACATGGTGGTTATTGGTTGTTATGCTTCTCTCTGAAAAAAATGAAACAATATTCAGATATCTTTGGAGGTAGTGGAAGGTACTTGAGTTAAATGGAGATTACTGGAGGGGTTTTCTGGAAGCTGTTTGAATGATAGGTGATTATTGATAGGCATTGAAGAGGGTAGACATCAGCAGGTTTTTGGTACTCAAGGCAGAGGAAAAGGAAGGAAAGAAACATGGAAGGATGAAGTTGGAGAAGTATGCTTTGACAATARTTGTAGAAGGGTTGAAGTGGATGTCAGAGGCAGGTAGCAGGAAGAAGACTAACTTGGTGTATAGTGATTTATGAAAGGCTATTTGAATGCTTTTCATTGTTTAATGAATTAGAAACAAGATATGCTTTTCTATGAATAGATTTCTGTTCTTGCAGGCCAAAGAACATGAAACTGTGCACTGGCATGTTACCTGAGAACTTGACTTCTTCCAGACATCTGCAGATTAACCTTTTGATTCACCGCCATTTTCTTCAATAATATAATTTAAATAATAGATTCTTCTAGTGGAAGAAAAGAAGTTTTTGGGGAAGTTCAGCCTGTGGGGCCTGTGCCAGAAATACTGTACAGCTAATCATCACTGTCCAGTGTAAGAATTGTAGATGATACTAAAGATGTGGTCCCAAGCAGCAGTCAATCTATTTTAGACCTCATTAGAATAGATAAAGACACATTAAGTAAATGAATTGRAAGTAAGTGGTTGCCTAGAAACCAAGAATTGTGACCTAATTTTGTTCAGTATTGATTAACAGAGTATAGACTCAACCAACATTTGCTCTATACTCCTGATGAATTGAAAAGGTTAAAAATATCAATGTTAAAAGAATCAATGAGTAAAATTATTGTTATTTTTTTTTAATTTGTGAATGAAAAGTAGTATTTGGAATTCAATTGGCAAAAATCCCATAATTTCACAACTTCAAAATTTTTGTGAAAAATTCTGACTAAAAACCAATCTGCTCACCAGTAAAAACAGCAATTAAAAATAAACAAAACAGAAGTGGGTAGCCAAAAGTAGGAAATAGTTATAAAATGAGGAATTGTAAAGTGTTAAAAGTTATAAAGAAGGCTAAGACTGTCAAGGAAAATAAAAATTGATAAAAGTCTTATAGCAAATAATATGTATATCTTAATGAATTAAGAACAATTAAATTCCTTTTGTTTTACAGACCCTTCAGTGGATGGAAATGCTAATATAGCAAATGATAACCAAGACAATGTTTAATTCAGTTTCTCTTCTGCATTTACAAAGAAGCAATGTGTTGTAATCCTGTCATGTGAGAACAAATGGGGTACTTTCCAGTCTATTAAGTGAGTATAGTATTGAGCAATACCTACTGAGAATAATCATTGTGGCATGAGTAGARCTGGTTAACTTGTACTCTACAAACAAACAAGAGTTAGGAGTGACAGACTTTTTCCCAGTGCTGTTAATTTTGGAATAACTGGGCATATGCCACTGCACTAAAACAGTGTTAGTGGGTTCTAGTCTTCAAAAGCCAAATAGGTGACTCTTGGTCACATAGCTTGAAATCCAACTTCAGCAAATCGTAAATATGGTTCTGTTGCTGAATTAACAGAGTACGATTTATAGAGTGCAAGTGATTTTATGAAAAACAAGTTTTGTCAGACAAGCCTGATATAGTCATTTATTGCCATTACAAGCCTGTTGATTGTAGAGAGGTTTGTGTAAAAAGTTTTAGTGCTGCATATTTTCATTTAAAATAACACTATATGGTATAAATGGGGGATATGTAAAAGGGATTGAGAGCAGCTAACTGTTGAGAGTACTTGCTGACATGGAATTACCATTGAATAGGGTACAATGGTTGAAGTGCTTCAGGTGTCACACAGGACTGTAAATAAAATAAAATTATAAAATCACTGACGATAGAATCTGTAAGGAATTGACCAAAAAAAGTAGTTAGAGGGAATTCTTAAGACTGTTTGAAAGCTTTTGGCATTGTGATGTACAATGGGCAAAGGAACATGTAGCAAGCCTGTAGCAACTAAAATGTAGGTTAAAACTAAAGTATTCTGTAAATTCCTGACTTCTGAAAGTATCTAGAGGCTAGTTACAGTAGTCAGTTCAATCTGAATTGTTAGGAGACTCCAGCARGAAATGATTAGGAAATCTCATGATGGATGAGCACAAGAATATTGTATAAGATCCAGTTACTGATGCTACTTCTTGTACCATAGCAGTCAAATGGGCATAACAATTGCACAGAATTTTAGTGTCCTGAATTTTAACTGGGACTAGTAAGGCTTGTAATTCCAAGTAAACACGTGTGATTTATATGTAGAATAAAGTTAAGCTGTGGATCCTTGCCAAGGATATTATAGAGGTGATAGGTTTCTACAGTTTATTAGTTTTTAAATAAAACTCAAACCAATCCAGTCTTTGAAGATGTAGCATCCAGTGGAGGGTATTTAAAGTGGTAAAACCCTTTCCATCCTTTGGAAAGACCCTACACAATAGGGGGTGGAAGTAAGAAKAATATCTAAGACATCAACATGTATTACAGCCCTATTCATATTTCTTTCAGGCATCTGCTTTTAGAGACTTGTAGAGATAGGTTACTGTATCAAATCTGCTGCTTTATCTAGAATGGAAACTGGAGAAAGAGCAGAAGATGACTTACAGTCTCTAGGCATTGCCATCACATATTAAAGACTCTTTAGAAAATGTCAGCCAGAAACTGAGGCAAATAATTTCAAAGAGAAAATAACCACATTTTTAGCAGTGAAGAAGACTACCAAGTTTGTGAGCAGTTTATCCCATTAGTTAGTTCCTTCTTAATGTCTTCCAATCAAGACAAGTGAAAGCTCCTCTAGGAGATACCTGGTCACCAAACACAATGCTTTAGATTTTATTCACAGTAATTGGGTGGAACAGAATGGCTGGTGACATACAAATCAAACTAATTGAATTTTTCTTTTTAAAACTCTACAATTCCATARACCGTATCTTACCAAAAACAGTTGTTGCATGTTTATGCTGGGAAAAGGGTGTAAAACTACCAAACGTAATTCAGTGACAAAGACTTCTTGCCTACTAAATCACAAATGGAAAGTAAAAGCAAATGGGAAAAGTGCTTTTAAATTAAGTAAGCATTTTGACCTGAAATACTTTTCTTTAACTGCATTGTGGGATTTACAAACTTTTACAAGAAAAATAAGCAGACAGACACTTTTCTTTGTGACAGAAGATAAACTCCCCTCCTCTGATTTCTTGTTGCAAAAGGCATTTTTTTTCTCTGTAGAAAGTAGAAACTGAGTAGTGCTGCCAGGTAATTGTTACAAATAGGATTTTGGGTAGCCAAAGTTAGTTTTTCTTCATTGTGTTGTCCCCTTTGAATTTCCATATTTTGGTTAGGTTGACTTCTTAAGATGAATTCTCTTTTGCAGAGCTGGTATCTTTTGATTGGTGTCACTGTCAGGCCCAAAACTTATCTCTCCCTCTCCCTCTTCTCTCCACTCAAATGTTGCTGTCCTCAGGAATTTAGTCAATACATTCGCTGAGATATACACTTGGTACTTGGGAGAAGCACTTGGCAAAGAACTGAGCAATTTGTATTTCCCCTTTTATTAAATTCTTTATTGTATAAGAATCAGTCATGTTTCAACATCCAAGATAAGCTACTACCAAAATCTGGCAAAAGATCAGAAATCTAGTCAGAACTTTACAGTCAAGTAATATACAACATGTTACGTCACAGAAGATTTTTGCAAGGACTAAGTGATTCTATAAGCATGAAAGAGTTTTGGCCTAAAACATGAGTGAGAAATGTCTCAAAGCATGCATTGTGTTTCGAGAGGATGCACCAAGAGGAATACATTTTATTCACCTTGGTAAATTTTTTTAAATGTGGGTTTGTATTTTAAGCTTAGCCAAGAAGTGAGACTTCCATCCTATTGAAAATTTAGCATTAAGACCCATAGAGATGGCAGGGCTTAAATAAGCTATCTAGAAATATTAGTTAATATAGTGCATTAGCTAAAGGCATTAATAGCATTTTTCTCTTAAACTGGAATTTTATTTTTATTCAAAAAACCTCACATTCTCTACATATAAGAAAAACCATYGGTAGTTGAAAGGTGTTATAGATA